GTTTATTATGTCTTGTTTTAATTATACTATAAATCTTCAGAGTTGATTTGCAGTCTTTTCTGATTGCTATGCAGCAAAGTGCACATTGACAAGACGCAGCAAAAAACGCTCGCGTACAAGCCTTGGGTTTACTTTACTATTCAGCTCTTTAGAGATATAAAAACACGATGAAAGGAGGGAAAAACTAATTTGTTTTTACGAATTGCATTTTTTCGATTGCCAGTAGTCATACATGTTAATGTTGAATAATATGAGGTTATTACAGTGGGACTATGCGACCGCGTACTGTCCGAGTGCATACTGTGCGGCATTCTCGTAATAACTTAATATGCACTTTTTCTTCTCTAGGCATACATCATGGGTATGCCGAAATCCAAAAAGTTTAGAACAGATTCATCGAACTTCTTGGTGTGGGGTCCGGTCAAACCCTGGGGGCTAACCTATATATTTTTTTTAGCTCCGCTGTTGACTTTGTCAAGCGGAGCTTATCATACGAGTGATTGTCCGTCGCCTGTGTCAATATTTTATTTTTTCGACTTCTTGAAAACTATAATCCTGAATACTTTGATACTTTGTGTATATGTAGACCTCTCTTAGATTTTCATGATATCTTCAATTCTGTGATTTTGGCGAATATTTTTGTAATTTTTGGTAAAGTGATATTTTCGACTTCTTCAAGTTGTTAAAAACAGCAAATCCAATTGCTTTGATATTGCATGTATAGGTACTACATATGGACTACTCTCAGATTTGTTCATTTAATGATATCTTCAATTATCTAATTTTGATGATTATTTTTGTCATTTTTGGTAAAAAGTGTTATTTTTGAATTCTTGTTGAAAAAAAAAGTCCGGTTGCTTTGATACTATGCATATTGTTAATTTTCTAATGATATCTTCTGTTCTTTTTATTGAAATGTGCATTGCTAACAGCAGAGCTATCTCAGCCGACAGGCTGCTTGTCTTTATATTAGAGGACGCTTACGCGCGTAATCGTTGCATATTTGGAATTTGTATTTCCTTATAAGGTAGGATGCAAACACCCAGCACAATACCGCAAAATTACAGCACGTTGTAATTTATAAATTTGCAGTCATGTGATTAGCTATTAATTTTACTGAAACGTCTCTATTTGTTGTCAAATACGTTTCTCATTTTCAATGTGTCGCTCTGAAATGTACATTTATTAAATTTGTTTTTTAAAAAGTTAAATCGTATTCTAGGATTTCTTTTGTTTTAGCCACGCCCCATATCCGGCACAGTTGACTGTTACCGGTTTTCCGTCTCTCCCTGAAGAAGTGTGAAGTGCGCCACCAAACGCTAGAATATGAGAAGAAACTACTCTTACGCGATACTTTTACAATACTGCACAATTAAAAATGTATACATTTCGGCTAACAGAGATTTAGTAAAAGTTGTTTTTCACAGCGAATCTATTTACAATGGTTACATGGGATGGGCCTCTCCTTAGTCATATTCAGTTCTAATTATACGGCAAATTATTTTGCTGCACGACTGTCCTCATTTGCGAAATATCTTAGAACTACTTTGTCTTCAAGATATTATACAAGCATGTTTGGCACTTGTACATGTATGCTACCATGTTCTAAACTTTCAGTCAATTTTAAGTTGAACTCTTGAACTCTTGAACTTATAGATTAAATCATTTTCTCAGTTTCTGACCACAGTGGATATGTCGTACTTTACCCATAATCCTTTGCTGAAGAATCAAGATGGTGGACTACATAATACTGGTGAAAAGTTGTATATCTGGAGAAAGAAAAGTAATATACAAAAACTGTTATCCTACATTTGTAGAGCTCTTTCCTTGGCGAGCATCGCGTTTTGCTTGACTTCCCCTTCAACTGAATCATACGGGTGTTTTATTGGTAATAATAGAAATGAGAAGTTTTGTTATACGTCGTTCCCATATTTATGAATCAAACGCCGTCATTCGCACACTTATCCCCCCTTGATAGTTCATTCGCAACTGGATATCGACAATCATAATCGGAGCTCATTATGGTCCAATCTTCCTCGATGAATAAGTACATGTTGGTCACTTTAATTTATTCAGTTTTCTATGTATAATTGCATAATACCGGTACCCCTTAACCGTGCTTTATCTATAGACAACTTATATTTTTGTTTTGCTCAACGTATGTTCCCGGCGTTACTCCAGTTAACATAGACTGTTGGCTTCGAGTTATTAAATTTGAACGCCAAACAACATATTATTTGCATTTACAAAACACTGTAACAAAAAGCATGAATAAACGAACTTTCAAAATCGAAAAGGTCAATATCAGAGTAATTATTTATTGCAATTACCCAAAGTTTAGGCCGCTACTACTGAATTGTACAATTATTTCAAAACGGTACTCTTTCAATCACCAGACCTGCAATTCTCATTCAATCGCAAAGCAATTTTACCCTCAATGTAACTGCTCGCTCTCCGGCGTGGGTCAGACGGCAGAGCCACAGTCAGTTAGCGTACACGTGCTATTAAAATAAATTCGATTAATCGACCGGTATTTATTGTAATGAGCAGCTATTTTGAATATGGCTTGAAACTAAATAACGAGACAAGTTAAGAAAAATGTTTTTTAGTTTCCTATATGACTGGGGAAGATGCTATTCACGGGTACACGAAGTACCTAAAACTTTTTCTCCAGGTATTTGATGAGTTGGATGACGATTTCCGTTTCAAAATACCTCTAGATATTCTTTGTGTAAATGTCGTAAACGACAAATGCGGTCGAATTTTAATAGCGGTTGGCTCAGTTACCCCAACTGACGGTTTGGCAGTGAAATTTTGATATTTTACCCCCTGAAGTTTAACTATTGAGAAACTGTGACGCAATCTATTTATAAACAAGACATTTTAGCAAAAACATGGATGCAAAACAGATATACTGATATTGAAATTATTGACAATGTATTTAGACGGACTATTGGCACTCCTTGAAATGGCAGAAATTATAAACCACTATCAGTATTATCCTTGTATTCGTACGAGACTGAATTCATACAAGCTCCCGTTAAGTCGAAGAAAAAGAACAATAATAGCTTCAGCATTGACGTCTTGAGTTTAAATACAACAAAGATTTTTCTGTTATCTTCACATAATTTATCCAAATCACCAAGAACACAACAGATGGCATATATTCAGCTTAATGCCAATATACACCAAGCTGTCTGATAAGTATGATTTTATTTTTAAAATTTTCAAGTAACATTTCCATAGCTACAGCTTATGGTGTATACACGAGTAAGATGTAGCTCAGTATGCCTTTAAACGGGTCACATGAGCAGACAATCACCAAGTATGACTCGTCTGACAATGAAATTATGCGAGACAGCATTTCTAAGATTATTTACGAGTTATTATTCCCGAGACGTCAGTAGTTCGTGATTGTCAGATCACCATGTTGTCAGATGTTCTACGTTTCGTGGACCTAGTAACCATACGCTGCTTTGTTAATCATGGAGTACCCCTCTGTTATGACGTTATAATTATAGACAATGTGATCCCATCCACCGAGAATAAGAGTACTTGTACTCTGCTGTATACATGACGAATCTTTCAAAAATTCCCAAAGATGTTTTGGTGCAATTCAGCACCTCTCATCACGAGTTTGCTGAACTCAGTAATTCAGTATTTGTGCAAGGCTATTTGTGTTTGTGGTGCATTGAGTTTCCTAGAACCCTTGTTAATACCAGTAAGAGTTCACTGAAAACGTGGAATGCATGGCTATATTCTAATAACCCGTCGATATCACCGAAGTCCGAATCATAAATACAGTTATCGTATTCGTTCAAAAATCACTAAAAACGTCCCTAATTGCACAATGTGTTCAGCAGTTTGCCAACGATAATTGCCAGTCTGATTTCTGTGCACATTGCAACACCAAAATGAACAGACTGAAGTGGTGACACTTTGTTACGTTACTAGATTCTTAAATGTGTAGCACACGACTGCAACCCAGCTCTGGACTGCAGAAGTCTGTTTACGATTATCTTGGTTGTAGATTAGGATTGTTGAAAAAAACACGTCTGGTTGTACAAGTGGGCACCAGTTTGCTGACCAATAAATGAGATTGTTTACAACACTCCCTCTCCCCATTTTTGATTCACAACGAATGGACATATGCACGATTGCGTCCTTACCCGGGCAACACCAAATTGCCTATTGTTACAAAGTTTGGTAATGCAATACTAGGAGCAGGGCCTATGGCTGGTTTGGGACTCGGAACTTAAAAGAAAAAAAGGGAACTTGTCGATTGCAAAATTATGCGACTGTTCTAAACATCCTAAAATCTATTGAGCCCTTGCGTGAAAATGACAGAGGTCCTCCTCCAAGGGTTTCTATTTCAAGACGTTATCTTTAGCATTGCAACCAATTTGGTCAGTGGGTAGGAAGTTGCTGATATCTATACCACAATCCTGTATATCTTAGTTGATGTATGTTAGGGTACCAGTAATTAGAGTGCGATTACGGCTTAGAATCCATGCATATTCCATTTTGATGAATCCGAATATGAAATCATCACAAGAGTACACTACAGAGTAAGTGTCGTAGTCAGTCTTCATAACAATGTACATTTATTTTCAACTTTGTAATATAATGGTTATTCACTCACTGGACACGTGGTTATCATTTCATCACAATTCACTACTAATCGTTAACACACATTTTTTCTACTATTTCTTTTATAATCACCTCACCCAAACTTTGATCCTTTCCCAAGTTTTGCTTTAACGGCCATTTTCAGAAAATGACACGATATTGCCCTAAAGTTGTTTTTCCCGGCCAAAAATAGCGTCGATCTTTTTCATATCCGGGCAGCATACCATCCCCAAATTTAATTTTCTCCTCTCATTCAAAATGCCAGAAGAGTAAAACAAAAACTTCAAAGAAAACCCTGTCCAGTTCTTGTAATGTAACTATTCCAACATTCTAAAATCTACAACTCAAAGCTCCTAAGCGAAGATGGCAGACTAAACCACGTCCAAGGGTTAATAATTCAACGTGTTATCTTAAGCTTCACAACCAGTCTGGTCAGAGAATATGAAGTTACTGATATCGATACCACGATCTTGTACATCTCGCTTGATGTCTGTCAGAGTGCGAGTATTGAGAGTGCGACCACGGCCTAGAATCCATGCGTATTCCATTTTGACGAATCCGAGCATGAAATCGTCACACGAGTACACTACAGAGAAAGTGTCGTAGTCAGTCCTCAGAACCCAGTAGTCACCTGCCGGCATCCCTGTGAATAATAATAAATAATTTATATTTGAAGGGCGGTTGTCGTCGCGTCGCGCATGTGCGTCATTGCGACAATACTCTCTTCTAATGGAAACTAAGTCTGAGCTTTGACCTCAGCGCGACATGCAATAATTAGTGTAGATAATTATCTCACTAAGTTGGCAATACTAGTATGTCAGTTTGCACTCGTTAGTCTGCCATCTTTGTTCAAGCATGGAACTATTATAGTTCCATGGTTCAAGTGAGATTTATATTTCGCGCATGCGTGGCGCGACGACCTCCGCCCTTCAGTGATTATTTACTCACTGGACACTTGACTGTGGTTGACATCCTTTCCTTGTATAAATTTAACACCCAAATTCAGTGGCATAATACGTCCATGGTGGCATCAATCATTGCGGAAGTTTCGCATTGTTTTTCATTTCTGACCTGCAAGTTTCACGTTTTTGCTTCTCATTCAAAAAGTCAAACGCGCAAGTCAACAACGTCAAACCATGGAGCACTTTTTTAGTTCCATGATCAAACGAGTATGCAGGATCATCTCGTTATCATGGATACAGAAGTCAAAAGTGCACAAACAGTTTCACATCTCCCGAACTCAGCTCCCCCCCCCCCCATCTTTGTATTTTGCCACCAAAGCCGAATTTATAATTGATAAACGGAGATTCACAAATTTAATAAAAATGCTAAACGTCCGTAGGTCAAACAGCAAACTGTGCGGAGTAAAACTACCAAACTTGTGGGTAACAATCGACCTGATGGTCGAAATAACTCTGTGCAATAATGGGTACATGCAAAGTTACTGTGACCGTTTTTAAATGGTATCGGAGTTTCCATTTGCGTACGTAGCAAACCTTTTCGTGAAGGCTTTGGTTGTTTGTACAGGAGCACTGACATGACTGGCATTGTATTTAATTGTATCCAAGTTTAGGATTCATCGACTCTGGTTTAGGACACGTGTCACAAAATAAAATGTAATAAGAGTCCCACCCAAATTACAAGTCAATCGAACTGGCGGTTATCAGGACGTTTTTTCATCCAAAATGACAAATATTTTCTGAAATTGCAGAATTGGAGAAATCGCCACGAAAGATACAAAGTGAATACAAAGGTCCATCCATTGTGTTCCACGTGTACCAGGAATAAAAACACTAGAATTGACTGTCCCCGGTGACTGTCACCAAGGAAAAGTAGTTTGAGGAAAAGATAACGCGAGACGCTAGGTGACGAAAACTGTAACCAACACTGAACTCCAACTCCGCCTGTCATCTTTGGTGACAGCGGAGCTAAACATGTAAAAAAAAAATGTCACGATACGACAAACGAATCGAACTGTCTGAATCACAATGGAATATCAAAATGTACAACTAATAAGTGATTAATATAGTCTTACATGATCGGAATTTCACTTTCAACTTAGCCGGCACGTTAGGGTCTGGCACCCAGGTATCGCCTTCAACCGAGGTTTGTTCACCGGTCACGATGTCTGTCTCAATGTTGATTACCCCAATAGTGCCATCTTGTTTCAGCCAGTACTTTGCATTGTTACATTTCAGACCAGTTTCAAACGAGGCTGGAAATCTCTCAATCTCGTACCACCAACCAGTATATTTGTCAACGTTGAAGTCTGGTTGTACCACAACAGCTGGACACGGTCCACGTGAGATAACCTGTCCACGGACACTATAAAATAGTGACGCAAGAATGATAAGACAGCGACCCGCCATAATGTTCACCATGTAATAGATAACCGCCAACTCAAAGGGGTTTCTGCCTTAAAAGCACAACGGGCAATGCTCCAGATGATTCCAAGTTAGACAGGAACGAAAAAGAAGCGGCGATTACTCGTATCTGCCTCAAACCTCACTCACACTGCTTTTATACCAATAGCCCCTCGTTGCCAAACCACCCCTCAATCAGACGATGGTTGTGTCCATTTCAAATGGGATATATTTGCATACTAGTACTGGGTCTGACCTGGACTTGCATACAATCTCGTGCTTGTTTTTTGGCGTTTATTTCACTAATTAAAAATATGAAATGCTACGTGAATGTATAAACTGCGAAAGACGGTTACTACAAAAACCGGGTTATCACGAAACAAAATTGCTTCATTTTCATTATTAAACTAAGCAAATTTCAACTAAATGAGATGATTATGCACATTGTGCAAATTCGGCAATTAGTATGTTCGAATTTCAATCAGAAACTAATGCATTATTCCCTGGCACTTATATATCAAATCTTATTGTAGTACAATAATTTGTTTTTGAAAAAATGGACAATTATCATGAAAATTAAGCAATTATTATGCATAGATTTTAACCACAAACTAATTAGCTCTGTGTAATGTTTCAGACACACATGTGTCTAGTTTCATGATAATGTAATGATTAATTCTTTTAAAAAAGTCGATGGAAAGCCGAAAATTTATTATACAAATTAGGTAAATTTTATGGATGTACATCAACCCAAAACTACGTCGTTCGTATCATTGTCTTAGAGTATTTATGTACCAAGATTCATTGAAATAGGATAAGTCCTTTAGATATTAATATGCACAGATGTTAATGTAAAAGTAATAAGGTCTATACAATGTCATCAAAGTACCAAGTTTAATTGAAATGCGATCAGAACTTGAGATATCGATTGAAAAGCCGAACAATTATGAATTGTTATGCAAATTAAATATTTAATATGCACAAGTTTAAACCAAAACTAAACAGGACTGCGCATTGTTGTAGATAATCTATGTACTAAGTTTAATAGGAATGCAATGATTAGTAATAGAGATATCAGTGGAAAAATAAAAAAATGAATAATCTTTATGCAAATTAGGTGATTAATATGGACATATTTGTATTCCAACTAATAAGGTCTGTGCATAGTCCGAGAACATCTATGTACCAAGTTTCATTTAAATTTAATGATTGGTACTTGAAATATCAGCGGAAAAGCCAACAAATTACTAATTATGCAAATTATTTAATTTATATGCATGGATTAATTTATATGCATTGATACTTAACCCAAAACTTATCAAGTCTGTTCATTGATTTTTTAAGATTCTGATCCGTCGTGGAATATTCTCGATCCCTATTGTTTATAGTAGACGAAATGACCTCATATATATAAATTATGTTGATTTACGCCCTCAACGGTTGTCTTGACAAATACTACATCAAACAAATACTCGCAGGATGCGCCACTCGCATAACAGTAGGTCAAGGGAACTGTCGAAATGACCACGTATGTATAAATTATGTTGATTTACGCCCTCAGCGGTTGTCTTGACAAATACTACATCAAACAAATACTCGCAGGATGCGCCACTCGCATAACAGTAGGTCAAGGGAACTGTCGAAATGACTTCATATGTATAAATTATGTTGATTTACGCCCTCAACGGTTGTCTTGACAAATACTCGCAGGATGCGCCACTAGCATAACAGTAGGTCAAGGGAACTGTCGAAATGACCTCGTATGTATAAATTATGTTGATTTACTTGTCACGATGCAGAATTAAGTTAAAAATACTTGAACTTGCTAAAGAACTAGTTGTCTATGTATACATTTTAATCATTGTACTCACGACTTTTGTGGATCTCAACACATGCACATTCCTATTATGTTTGTTGACATAATGGTATTCTCAATACTAACACTATTTTTATTCGAAAGTTTGTGCATTTCCTGGTTATGACACTATTCGCGCGTTTGCTTTAATTTTTATTTATTTTTTCAAATATACATACATCTTGCCTATAACTATATGAAATTTAGACATGCAAATAATTCCGAAACGAATTATGTGGTACATTTTCGTCATACTTTCGTTATAGGCTCATGTTTATTCGGTTGCGAAGCTCGGGGAACAAGTTACATTTTACGCTAATCTGTCCAAAATATAGAGTTAAATTTAGAGAGTTAAATATATATCGGCATACCAGATTGCAAAGTCCATAAGCGAAACATATTCCATGTCAACCTAAATGGCTCTGCACTATTCCGTTTACTATGTTATCAACAACTTAGTAACTTTATAAGTAAAGATTCACGACTTTTCACAACAAATGTTTATGAAATTGTTTTATTATTATTATTATTTAAAAGTACAAACTACATCATAGCAATACATAGAAATCTCAAAATCGTAGACCCACTTTTATAGTTCACGAAGTTAATATCTAATGATAAAAAGTTGTGGCGTCAAACTATAGAATTTCCTAAAATATCGTGCTTGCATAGCTGACTAGCGAAGTAACAGATTGTCATGCCCGCGTCTTATTTTGTGCCGTTTGATATATTTATGCATACTGCCCTCAACGGTTGTCTTGACAAATACTAGCAGGATGCGCCACTCGCATAACAGTAGGTCAAGGGAACTGTCGATTGCGAAATCATGCGACTGTTCTAGCACCCTGAAATCTAATGAACCCCTACGTGAAAATGACAGACAGATCATCGTCCAAGGGCTCATATTTCAAGATGTTATCTTTAGCATCACAACCAGTTTGGTCAGTGAATAGGAAGTTACTGATATCGATACCACGATCTTCTACATCTTGTTTGATGTCTGTCAGGGTACCAGTGTTTAGGGTGCGATCACGGCTTAGAATCCATGCATATTCCATTTTGATGAATCCGAATATGAAATCGTCACAGGAGTACACAACAGAGTAAGTATCGTAGTCGGTCTTCAGAACCCAATAGTCACCTGCCGGCATCCCTGTGAATAATAATACATGTATACATTTATTTTCAACTTTGTAATATAATGGTTATTCGCTCACTGGACACGTGACTATGGTTATCATTACGTCCCAATCCACTACTAATCATTAACTATTACACCTTTTTCTTTTACAATCACATGACCCAAACTTTGATCCTTTCCCAAGTTTTGTTTTAACGGCTATTTTTTTTTTAATTTGATTTCTTCACCCCCCCATTTGTCGCCGAATTGGTTACTGCCTAAATACGAGGCAGATTTCGAAAACCAAAAAAGAATATTCAGCCTAAAGATTCAGAAAATGACATCATTTTGTCCGAAGTTGTTTTTCCCCGGCCAAAAATAGCGTCGATCTTTTAAGTTCGGGCAGCAGACCATCCGTATTTTTATAGTACCTCTTTCCGGGAACTACACTTTTGCATTTTTGATTCCCATTTAAAATACCAAACGGATAAAACAAAAAGTTCAAGCGTACTTGAACGGTTTCGCCAAACTCTAATAATTTCAAACGTAAATTTAGAGATCGAAATTGTCAAACGCTCAAAGTCACTGTAAAAATGCGAAACGTGTCACGCATGGCGCACTGTCTGAATAACAATTCACAAAGCAATGGCTTCAACGTGTTTAGATAACCACAACAAATTCAATCACATTGATATCGAGGATGACAGACAGAACTGTCCCGACTCGCACTAGAATATAAAAATGAACAACTAATAAATGATTGATATAATCTTACACCATCGGAATTTCACTTTCAACTTAGCCGGCACGTTTGGGTCTGGCACCCAGGCATCGCCTTCAATCGAGGTTTGTTCACCGGTCACGATGTCTATCCCACTGTTGATTACCCCAATAGTGCCATCTTGTTTCAGCCAGTACTTTGCATTGTTACATTTCAGACCAGATTCAAACGACGCTGGAAATCTCTCAATCTCGTACCACCAGCCAGTGTAATTATCAACGTTAAAGTCTTGTTGGACGAGGACAGTTGGACACGAACCACGTGATATAACCTGTCCACAGACGCTGTAAAATAGTGACAAAACACTGATAGCGAGAGTGATAAGACTGCGACGCGCCATAATGATGACTGTGTTGGTGCGTGATCACGTGTTTGTTACTCACATCTCACATGTCATCACTACTAAAGAGGTCAATAGTTCACTTTCCGTCGAACGTGGAATCATGTGCGCACGCATCATAAACAATCTTAAAATTAAACAACAATATTTCAATTATTAATGGCAGATACTAGTAATTATCAAATTTTATCGTTTAAAATTGCTACTGAATTGTTGAAAAGGACATTGTTGTTGTAATATACCGTCCTTTACGTTTAGATGAGACCAGGTACATTGCACTGGTATCAATCGCCGTCGCGGTGGAAACGCCTTGCCAGGGTTCACGCAAAGATACTTTTTTACCAAAATATCTCTTTTTATATAATAAACATGCATCGATGGGCGGGGGACAGGGGTAATGAATACCACGAGATCTCGCAATCATGTGATAACCTCATCATAATAAATCGAAAGAATGTGGGTGTGGTCACAGTCAGCTGGCATGAATAATAATTAATATATGGAGGCAGCCATCTTAAAAACGGCTTGAAAATAAATAAAAAACAAGAGAAACGGATTTTTCAGTTTCCTGCAAATCAGGAGGAAAATACCAAACTTTCTACACTTTCTGAAAAAATCGACCTCATTTAGTAGTTTTTGCGTGGAAAAGCTCTTGCATATGATCAATACATGAAGAACTTATAACACTTTTTCGAGGTGTTTGAAACCGAAATCGTCATTAAACTCAGGGACTTATCAGTGACGGCTCACAGGTGGATGACGATTTCGGTTTCAAATACCCCAAAAATGTGTCCCGGTTCTTACCTGTGAAAAGGAGCGGCAACGTTCGGGAGTAAATTAGCTTTGCGAATCAATGTGATTCGCAAGTATGGTTGCTGCAGTAGAACTGTTTTGATTTGACTGTACTATTCAGCAGTACATGGCTACATATATACATATAAGTAATGACTCTGATATTGATTATATCGATATTGGAAGTTCATTCTTAAGTGGTTCGTGTTTATTCATGCTTATTATTACACCGTGTTTTGTAATTGCAAGTAAAATTATACCATTGATTCCCATGGAAACCACAAACCGATATCGTACCCACTCAGTCATGTGACAGGTTATGTTATAATAATCTTTATCATAATTTCAGGTCATCGAACACACTAACACTGTCCCAAAATGAACTTATTTCAACTGGTCATTTTCACATTTTACAACTTCCTGACGTCAAACGACAAAATAATGATGACGTGAATTACATTGAAAGGATGATAACATCAACTGCATTAAAACACACAATGATGACATGAAATGTACTGAAGCACAAAGAATGACGTCAGTTAAAGTGGGAGGGGCGTCATCTGCGCACGCGCGGGAATTGAGTCCCACGCGACGATAACAACACACGCTAAAACGCAAAGGCTCATGGGTAGGCGCTTGTTTGTAATCAATGACACGCTATGACCATCTGACGCATGCGTGGGTGACGACTCCCCCACTTTAATGACTGAAACACACATAATGATGACATCAACTGCATTGAAGCTCAAAGAATGATAATGCAATTACATTGATACACAAAATGAAAAAAATCAAGTGCATTGTCACATAAATGAAGATGACGTCAATGGCACAGAGTGATGGCATCTAAAGGACACAATTCTAGATCTGTGTGTGCGTGCGTGCGTGCGTGCGTGCGTGCAAGACTATAACATCGGGCGCTAAGTAAGCATTGTAGCAAACGGGAGCGCATAGGTGTACCACGGTGCAAATGAAGATTGCTAAAGCTAAAAACTGGATCATATTTCTAGGCTATAAATGCCGTAAATAATAACATGTTACCATATATTCCCCTTTCAATTTCAATGTGACATTGACAGCAGCCGTGACTTGCACAAACATGGTTATGAATTGGCAGATTACGATTAATGGTTAGCATGTAGCCCTCCCCTAAAAATGGTTCGAACTCAGATATTTTTCTTTTTCAACAAAACTACTGGTAACATTTCTTTTCGGAAAAAAATCCCATTATCGATTAACCCCCATGCCGATGAACAAGTGCATTCATCCCAGCAGGGAGCTGTGTTTTACAGCTCCCTGATCCCAGATTGCACCGTAGGTGTCCAATGATCGATTCATTTTATGTGAACGTGGTTTTCCGGTCGATCTAGTCCACGGGTTTGTACTTCAGCGTGTCATCGCACCCAGTTTGGTCGGTGGGTTGAAAGTTACCGATGTCGATACCACGGTCGTTTAGATCATTACAGATATCCGTGAGGGTGTCATCATTGAGGATGCGACCCCGGCTCAAAACCCACGCAGATTCGACTTTGAAGAATCCGAATAAATAGTCGTTACACGAGTAGACCACTGAGTACGTGTCGTAGTCTGTCCTTAGTACCCAATAATTGGTAGCGGGTACCCCTGCAAACAAACAAAAACACAGATACGTTATATTATAATTACCCCCCCCCCACGAGCTCGAAGGTCCGTTTTCTTAATACCCAATATTTTTTAAAAGGCGGACTATATTGTATCACCAGCGGGTGGAAGTCCTAGATAAATTGAGCACTTTGTCATAGAATAAAAATTAACTATGCAATGTTTTAAAGCAGACTTGTATTTTAAGATTTTTGACACCTTAATTCAACCTGTACTTACACATGGGTCTGAAATTTGGGGATATGGTCAATATCAACATTTAGAAAGTGTACATACATCTTATTGTAGGCAATACCTCGATGTAGGTAAAAATGCTCCAACTTGTACGGTATTAGGGGATTGTGGGAGACTACCCTTATTTTGTTACCATGTTAAAAGATGTGTGAAATATTGGTTAAAAATTACTAGCATGGATGAAAACAGATTACCTCAAAAAGCTTACAGGATGCTACTTTCACTGGACGAAAAAGTACAAAGGTCATAAGCCATAGAAATTAAAGAATTGCTATTTAAATATGGGTTTGGTTATGTCTTTTTTAATCAAGGGGTGGGGGACTCTGATATGTTCTTGTATAAATTTTGTGAACGGGTCAAAGATATTGGAATTACAGATTGGTATATAGACGTTTGTTCTGGCGAAAAAACGCAGTATTATAGGCAATACAAAACAAATTTTGGGATTGAAAACTATGTGCCATTGCCACAATTAAAATTAGATTAAGATGTGCATGCCATCCCTTAGAAATAGAAAGAGGCAGACATAATAATATCCCTAGGGAGGGCCGTATTTGCCATTTGTGCTTGCAAGAAATTGATGATGAATATCATTTTTTACTAAAATGCACTGCATGGGACACAATCAGGAAAAAGTTTCTCCCAAATGAGACACAACCCCCAAATTTGAATACTCAAGTACAACTATTAAGTTCCTCTAAAAGCCAAATCATTAACTCGTTAGCTCTATTTATTTATAAGTGTTTTTTAATCAAAGATCAAATGAGAATAACCTAATAAGCTTGTATGTATATATATATATAAATATCCCCATCACATTATTATATAGTGGTTATATTATCTATTGACACCCTCTTCATCTATATTTTCATACATATTTTGTAATGTAAATTTATTTCTTATCAATAATTAATTTGTATGATTGTTATGGGCCGGAGGCCATTATACAATTAATAAAATTATTATTATTATAAAGATTAACTCTGCGATTTACAGTTAGTTATTCTTGGGTCCGTATTACACTGGTAAAGATTTCCCCGAGTCTGTATTATACTGGTAAAGGCTCGGGTGGGACAAGCGCCGACAGAGTCCCCTAATGTCATATAAAGCCTGTCGCTGGACACGATGAGGGAAACATTTCAAACAATTAGAGCGTTGTAAAGCATCCAGTTGTCGTGTCTCTGATTTTTCCTTTGAAACCCCCCCCCCCCCCAGCAAAATCATCGCTACGGGCATGCATGAACGTACACGCCCCTGGGCGTCACCTATCCGGGCATCTATCACGCTTATGTATCTCTCATATTCAGGTACATCTAGAATTCATTTCCCAATTAATTAAATGTTCGAAATCAACACTGTATGTGTCACCATTTACGAAATCGTGCATGTTAAGCAAAGATCGACTTTTTCCACGGCGCTTCATTTTTCAGCCTGAGAGATAGAGGTTCAAAATGTGATAACTTCGAAAATAGACGGAGCTATGACCGTGACTACTTACACCATTTAAATTTAATTTTCAACTTAGCTGGAACTTTCGGGTCTGGTATCCATGCATAGCCTTCGGTCGACGTGAGTTTGTCATTTTTCGTGAAAGTGCCATTATTGGTAACGCCGATTACGTCATCCTTATTCGACCAATACGTTACTGTGCTGCATTTCAGATCCGATTGGACGCCAGATTGAAATCTCTCTATCTCGTACCACAAACCCAAAAATTTAGCGATCTCGAAATCTGTTTTTACCGATACTGTCGGACATGCCCCACGGGTTGTCACTTGACCATGAACGCAGTAAAATAAATACACAGATACCACAACGTGGATGATCTGGCAGCGATTCGCCATGATGACTAATGTATAGCAAGTCACGTGTTAATCACCCATGCGTTGCGCGTGTCATCACGCGTGAATCAAAAAATTATAATAACAATATAAGTAAAAGAAAAATTCTGTCACAGGGATGAGGATTCTCCGCAAAAGCCTGAATTTAGACGGAGAAACTTTATTAACGCGAATAAATGATGACCTACACATGCACCATGGCGATAAAGTTCATCTCTGTGTGAAACCAGATGCGACATTACATCTGTTTTTCATTTCAACACTGTCACTACCCGCCAGTTAGAACATCTATATTCAACTGTTTCAATATATATGTGATTTCGTTTTATATTTACATACCATAAAATAAATATCAATGAGAGTACTTGGGCACCCCATCGCGATGTGACTGTCACAAATATTCTAATGGTTTTAAAAACAAGATTAGGTTGGTCGAATTATGTTTCAAAATGCCCAGCGTCGCGCAGTTTGACATATACCGGTGACAGTACTCTGACCGCATAATAAATGCGACCACAGCCTTTATATGTACACCATATTTTAAACAGATTGGCTGTGGATTGGCAACTGATTCAACCACATCATATATCCGTACATCATATTTTAAACAGAATCAGGGTGCAGTTCGCAGAAGATTAACAGTGCCATGGGCGAGCGAGCGGTTTGGTGGATGGATTCCAGGTGAACAAACGATGTAATTTACACGAGCTGTGTATGTTGCTTTGAGTTCCATGTCAAACAGAACAGTAGTATCGGGGGGGGGCAGTTGACACATAGCTGGGTAGGGAGGTGGCCCTGAGTGCTCAAAAATGGCAAAATCTATACCAATATTTATACCAAAGTACCATTTCTGTCATCACTGTTTATTCCAAATAAAACAGTTACCTATGGATCTATGGATAAGTATACCCAAATCGAAAAAATATTACCGATATTTATACCTATGTTGACCAGAAATAAGACCGATACTTATACCTAAAATCCAAAAAACGAGACCTCATTAAGTAAGTTATATATATTGCACCCCCGGGGTAGTATCACAGTATCATTTCGTACTATGCCCCTACAACCCCTCTATCCCGTGGTGTTTCCTAGTACACCCCCACAATGCCCATTTTCGAATAAAAGTAATACAAACATAAATAAGTCCAATTTGCTCAGGCTGCTGTAGACGTCGTGGTTGTTACAATCGACACTGAAGGTAAGTAAAAAAGGGATTTCACGATTAGTACATTACACGTGTGTTGTATAAACTCTTTCACAGTTTATTCATTTGATGAGAATACTTGTTTTTGGAACACAAAATAAATGAATGTAAAAGTATATGTCAAAAATTAAAATAATACTAATAGTAATCCTTTTTGTAACCCCGCCAAAACGAAACTTTCCAGGGATAGTATACAAACTCATGGTGGATCAAAATAAAAAACAAACATCTCATTGTTTTAAATTTATTTCTTTGAAAGACCAAACTTTGAACTAATGTAGTTTTTTTTTGTATAGACATTTATAAAATATTTATAATACATTAAACCTGGAAGACTCTCGTGCTTTATTCCAATCTATATAATACGCTTTCATTGGCCACAGAAGTTATTTGGCAACGCCCATTACCCATGAGTCTTTGCGGGTTACCTTCGATCCGATTTACTGCATCTGTTATCAAGATGTTATCGTCATTTGACATTTTTAAAACGCGTTCAAAACTTATTTATGCGTTTTTTTCCCGAACACTGACGAATATTGTATTCATTATAAATTTACCCACACAGCTGCAAAGCATTGTGGGTAACCAATGGACCCAGCTCAGTTGAGGATAAGGGAGTACTAGTATTTTCAATAAGGTCATTGACCGAATATAGAGTTACGCCCTCCACGGCACTATCAATGTGAACTAAGATGGCGGCGGAAAGGTAGTAGCAATGTATTGGTCCTGTTTCAAGGTGTTTACTATGAGGTAACTGGAATATACACGAAATGACGAACTTTCCATGACTAGGTATTTCCTTTTATTTATTCAGAACAATATCCCGGGATATCGACTTTGAATTAACACTCAACATAACAGCTTGTGATGGATTGTCTCACCTTGACTCAAGTCGATCTGATCGGGTCTCGCCCATAATAAAAAAAAGTTACGTGCGACAGTGAACGAATTTCCTTATAACTTCAGCTAACCGCAGCTGGAATCCGTTTGTCTGAATGAATCTACGTGACTGCAATGACCAAAACAATGTGTTCTGGGTGATTTCATGTTCAATTTACCTGTGACGATGTCTAGGTAGTTCAAAATTTAATATGACGACGTATTGTTGTTGTTGTTGTAGATATTTTTCTAATTCGAGAACGCCCACAGCGTATAATTGACTGTGTGTTCTTTATTTTAATTGACGATTCAAACAGGTTGTTATGATGTTACGTCATTGTTGATATAAATTTCTGATAATTGTATGCATGCAAATTACAATCCAGATCCTATAACCCAATGAATATATTATATACTGTAAAGGGGGTAATTATTCACTGGGTTTTAATTTAGCTTATTTCGCTGACTGGAAAAATGCGCCAAATTAAACCACAGTGAATATGTAAAATTTAGCATAGAACACATTATCTAAATGATAAAACCGTGAATTTAAAACCCACTGAATATGCCTGAAATGGTAAATCAGTGAAATTTAAACCCAGTGAAAATTAGTCATTTTACAGTAATGAAATGTAACACATAATTATGTCGTACGGTAAACATTAAAATTTATTGTCAGTATTAATTAGTTAGAATAACGATGTATCAAGGTTACCTGGATGTGATCATGTATTCCAAGTCAGACCCCAATAGTTGTCAGGGCTCAACATTATTTTTTCTTAGTCTTCATGGCCACCAGTCTTCAGAGCTGGTAGTCCTATAGTAATATTGAGTAGTTAAAGACACCCATAATTTGAAGACAAAATTGATTTATTAGAAATCAAAGTATTTTGTAAATTTCTAGCAGCCCAGTTGAGTTGTGCTACTAATTTTGTGAGTAGCCCCAGGAAAAGATTTGGTAGACACAACTTAGTAATGTAAAACCACAGTTCATGAACTTGGCAGAGGAAACTGTGAGGTACATTTTATGTTATTTTCATGTGGACTAAGCAAAAAATCAGAGAAAATAGTGAAATTACAAACCCAGTGAATAATTAATGTGTTCACAGTACCAGTATACTAATTAATTAAACTATTAATTAATATGGTAAAAACGTTTAGAAAACAGGGATAAATAAACTTTGTGAGACCAAGTACACCAGCAGACAAGATTCTGCAAAACCTGCAAGTCTGCAGTTGAAGACGAGTACGGTAAAATAGGAAAATTATGATATTAAAGGCCCTTTCATGCTCTGCCTTTAAAGGAACAACATTTTCTCTGGGAATAGAAGAAATGGCAACTTTACAGAGAATTCTGTTCTGAAAATTACTTGCAACTTTTGCAAAACACTTTTTGTTCAATCTGGACTTGACGAAGTACACTGATAGCTGCAGTTTTTACAATGATGACTTCTCTCTCATTCAAAATATCAAAGGATTATAATATGAATAAAACCCAAATATTCTATTTTACAGTATTTTTTTGATGCTCTGATGTAAGTATGCATTTGTTATTTGCACAAGTGCTAGCTCAGAGGGACCTCTCAAGAGCTGGGGATCTCTTCTCGATTGACGACAAAGAGATTGTTGATGACTTGTCAGAAGTCTTAATGACTATCAAGGACATTTCGTCATCTGAAGATTATCTCAACAACGACAATGACCAGGCCGTAGTAGAAATATGCATTACCAGAGTCACGACAGCTATTAAGTAAGTTTCCTTTTTAGTTAATTTAGTGAATTTTGATTTCATACCACAAGAATTTAAGGTGCGAGGTCTCGTAGATACGAATGTAAATCTTGAGATCGATGATAACTTTTGCATGAGATGACACCGGGCTTGAACTTCATGGAAGCATTCAATACAAAATTTAGGCTTGATGCCCAATTTGTTGCCCTTTATGGAGTCCTGCATATCACTTGACGTGTGAGTCAGTGGTTAGTGTGTCCTCTCATCATCATCAGGGAGGTTATGGGTTTGACTTCCATGGTCAGCTGCATACTCATATTCTGGAAATGTTATCCTTTCAGATGTAATTCACATGTATGAAAATGTGTTCTACTTTCTATTGCAGAGAAACTGGATCCATTAACGACAATGCGACAGCACTAGTGTTGCTATGGCAATCTTGTTTAGAATACAACCTAAAACCAATAAACCGAGATGAAGACTCACCACACGCTAAAATTGCCTCCGATATTATGAGTTGTTTATTTATGGTAAGTTAGGTCGTCTTCTTGAAAGTTAAAATACACAATTGAATAAAATTCATGCAACTCTCCTTTTAAAACTCCTCCATCTCCAAAATTATTAATTATTTGTTCAGGGTTTTGAATAACGAAAGTATTTAAGGTGACATACTCTCAGGATAGGAGTGTCTTGTAGCTTGTGCTATGTGAGCTGTAGAACTCATTAAAAATGTCCACTTTTTAACTTCTCGGTGGAAGACTATGTCACGTTCACATGCTGAGTGGTTAATTTACATTACTCTGCTGTTGAGTTGTACATTCAAATATTTGAGTATGGACACATATATTTGTTTCCATTTTTACAGATTGTTGTTGTGTGAAATGAACATGAGTTCGCCGAAAATGAATATTGATGAGTCAGAAACATGAATAAGTAAACTAAAGGACTGATAGCTAAGATATTTTATTATACTCCACTTTAAGAAGTTCATGATCACTGTGTGAAAGATTAATCACTATTTTTATTTTTAGAATTATTCCAACAAAGCAGTAATGGAATTAGCCGTTCCAGTGGCAGTTAAGTTTCTAGAACAGGGCAATAAAGAAATTACAAGAAATATGTCAAGTTATTTGTCTTTGGTTGCCATTGAAAGTGCCAGCCTATTGGCAAGGCACACCATCCCCATCATACAGAGCATTGTTAAAGGTAGGTGTCTACCCTCTAGCATGAATGGTTTAGTCTGATCATAAAGTAACAGTTGCATTTACCATGTAGTTACCTGGTATGTA